CTTGGTAAATGGTATGAATTGAAAATCTATGTGTTTTTTGAATAGTTGTCCCAGCATCTTTTATTTCATAATGTTTCTTTTCTCCATTGATTTTAATACTATAATTATAATATATTAAATTTTTATCTGTATGTGAGTGTGTTCAAAGGTTTTTATTTGATTGTATTGGTCTGTCTCTTCTTACATCACTACTACTTTGTTTTAATTACTGTAGGTTTGAAGTATTCCTTAATGCCTGATAGTTTTAGTTTCTCCTCTTTATCCTTTGTTTTAACTATTTTGACTCAGTATAACATTTACACTTTTTTTCAAATTTATTTTTTAAGGAATACATATTTCACAAGCACAACTTTAGGAATATAGTTATTCTTCCCACCATACCAGCCCTCCCACCCACACTCCCACTCCTCCTCCTCCTCCCTCTCCCCTTGCTAGTCCCATTCTCCATTAAGATTCATTTTCAATTAACTTTGTACACAGAAGACCAACTCTATACTAAGTAAAGATTTCAACAATTTACACACACACACACACACACATACACACAAAACTGATAACTGGTTTTACAGTTAACTCTCAATACAACTCATTGAGGACAGAGGTCCTGCATGGGGAATTAGTGCACAGTAACTCTTGTTAACTTAACAATTAACACTCTTATGTATGATATTAGTGATCATCTAAGACTCTTGAAATGAGCTGCCTAGGATATGGAAGCCTTTTGAGTCCACAAACGCTGTCAGTGTTTGGACAAAACCATAAGCAAATTGGAAGTTCTCTCCTCTCTTCAGAGAAAAGTACCTCCTTCTTTCCACTGGGATCTCACTCACAGAGATCCTCCATGAAGAACATTTTTTTTTTTTGCCACAGTGTCTTGCCTTTCCATGCTTGAAATGCTCTCACAGGCCTTTCAGCCAGACCAGGAAGCCTTATGGGCTGATTCTGAGGTCAAAGTGTTACTTAAAGCGATTGTCATTCTATGAGTCTGCTGTGTGGACTGCTTCCCATGTTGGACATTCTCTCCTTTTTAGCCATTCTTATCATGCCAATTCATATCTGCATCTAATCTATGGTGATCATGTTTTCTTTTTTTAACATTGAAGTTTATTTTCTGTAAAGATTTACTTGTTTATTTGAAAGGCAGAGTTATATATATAGAGAGAGAGATGAAGAGAGGGAGATCTGCTTCTGCTGTTTCACTCCCCAGATGGCCACAATAGCCAGGGCTGGGCTGGGCCAAAGCCAGAAGCCAATAGCCAGGAGCCAGAAGCTTCATTCGGGCCTCTCACAGGGGTGTAGGGGCCCAAGTAATTAGGCCGTCTTCTGTTTCCTAAGCATATTAGCAGGGAACTAGATTGGAGATGGATCAGCAGGGACATGAACCAGCATCCATATGGGATGCTAGAATTACAGGAGGTGACATTATCTGATATGCTACAATGCCAGCCCCAATCATATTTTCTAAATCCCAAATTAGGATGCATTATTAACAAGTGAAAATGTGGTGCTCCAAGCATAGTGTTGTGCACGTGGTAGGTACTTGTTAACTAAAGAATAAATGATAGGCTTGATTCATTTATAGTAATTAGGTCTTATATATACAACCCATAGGATAACTTTCTTTCTGTCATGTTAAGAAAGAAAATCCAAAGATTATTTGTTCTCTGTCCTGTTTTTGCTATTCAAGGAGCTCTTAGGTAGTTTCTACACCAGCTGTGTCACCCACATACTCAGTGCAGGCCAATTAGTTACAAAGAGTCACAATGCATTGAATCAGAAGGTAAATAAAGTCAAAGCTGCAGGAATACTAATGAATATTCAAAGCTTATTAGAATGAAAAAAAAAAGCTTCCGCCATTCTTTAAGTATCAGCCATAATCAGGTAAGAGCTACTTGAAACAACTACTTGAAAGTGATTTTTTTTTGATAAGGAAGATTTCTTCAGAATTACATTTTAAAAATTAGGACCACTTTTTTTTTTCAAAAAGGTTCAGTTGGTGCTTTATGATTTAATTTAAACAAATACTCACATATATACACATGCACAAACAAGTATACTGACAGCAATTATTAGTCATATTCAGATAAATGAATCCAGCCATTCTAGATAGCTAGAAGCCAAGACCACCAATGAAGGGCATTTTATGCATTCTTAGGGGATAATATTTAAACAGTATAAAATGGAATTATTGGCCTAAAATCCTAGTCATGGGGCTTTCGGGGGTTATTCAATCCATCTTTCCATCTCAAAGTAGAACTGAATCTATATTTATTATCAATATTATATCATCTTAATCCTACTAAAGGAAAAAATGGTAATTGGAATTCTCAAGGAGACTTCCCTTGCGCTCCTTAAAGAGGCACCATAAAAAAAAAAAAAAAACACTGAACTCATATCAAGGTCTTTGATTTTTAATTTGCATATAGATACACAGTTTTCAAGGAATATTTAGAGGTCAATACACATTCAGTAAAATCTTCTATACCTCCTATGCCTACATATAAACATTGAGAATTGATAATCCATCCATTCATTAATATTTAATCAATGCACTCATTAATCATTTTTGGCTGCCTTGAGGTGAACTTAAGGCCATAAAAATGCTTGATAATTAAATATTCAATTATTTTTGTTACTTTACTAAGGCAGAAAACTTATTTGGCCTCAATATTAACTAAAACAGAAATTATAATTGAATAAGCTGTTAATGTATTTTCTGAGTATAATCTTTTAATTAACACATAAACTGAAAAAAATCTTATTACTACACAAAATCCTTTTTGCAATGAAGCTGACCACTAGGTTTATACTCTGGATTTATCATTTGCATGCTGTAGGATCTTTAGCAACTTACTTAACTCCTTTATATCTGTTCCCTAATTTGTCAATATCATTTCCTACATCATGGGGATTAAATAAAAGAATTCACATCAAGGACTCAGCACAATACCTGGTAAATAGTAAACCCTGACTACAGAATATGCTTTGATCTAAGTTGTAAGTGTGTGTGTTTGTGTGTGTGTGTGTGTGTGTGTGTGTTGGGGGGCATGTTTATTACCTTTTAACAAGTTCACTGTGATGATTTCATTTAATACTTATAATCACACAATCAGACAGTAAATATATCAGCGTCATTGTAGATATAAGGGTATTTTGGGGCATAGAATTATCAAGAAACTTATCCCAAATCATATAGTCAGTAAATAAGAGCCAGAGCTAGTATTTGAATCCAGAAAGTCTATCTTCAAAGCTCTGTGTTCTTATTCACAAAGTTGCTTTCATTTAATTTTCATAAAGTCCTATAACTTTCTAAGGTTAAATACTAGCTGGAAAAAGGAAGAAACTCATATCCAATTTGGTACTTATATTATGACTGTTACCTTATTTATTTAAGTAATCTTCATGTTTGGATTCAAGCGACATGGCCTGCCATTCTCTAAGAAATATAGAAATCTGAAGAGTCAAATTTAATAATTGACTTCATCTTAAGCTAATATACTGGAATTAGCAAAAACGTTTTTATGTTTCCTTGAGTAGAAAGTATAGGGAAAGTGAGGATTTTTTTGTTTGTTTTAGGATATCTTAGAGGGGGTGGCTTGGGTTATTTTGAAGTCTGATTGTTACCCTCAGGCCTTGAAGCTACATGTGACTTTTTTAAAAAAGACTTATTTATCTGGCAGGCAGAGTGACAGAGAAATACAGATAGACACACACACACATACACACATAGATCCTCTATCCACTGATTCATTCTTCAAATGGCCACAAGAGCCATTTGGCCATTTGGCCATTCAGTCTGGGCCAGACTGAAGCCAGGAGCCAGCAACTCCATCTGGGTCTGGGGAATCAAGCACTTGGGCCATCTTCTGCTGCCTTCCCAGACACATTAGGAGGGAGCTGGATGGGCAGAGCAGCCAGGACTTGAATAGTCACTCTGATATGGGATACAAGCACCACAAAGCAGAGGCTTAACTCACTGCACCACAATGCTTGTACTTCCACATATGCCTTTTTAAAACATCAAGTGCAGCTCTTGAATTAAATACAAAAAAAATTCTACCTTGAATTGTCTTGATGCTGTGTCCTTTGAAAGACGTAGTGTTAATAAAAGGTAGAGACACAAGAGGGAGCTCTACATAAGAATAAAGAAAAACATTTCACAGTATGTGTAGTACAAACTACACTAGCATCTGACAGCTTGAATAGTGGTATGTTAATTTAATTTAGTGTGATAAATGCCATGGGTATGGGAGGCAACATGGTGAAGTAGTTAAAAACAGACTCTGAAGTCACGCATCCCTGAACTGGAACCATGGGTCTATTACTCTCTAGATGTATGGCTATAGGGAAGTCACCTGCCACCCCTTCCCTGAGCATTAGTTTTCCTATCTACAAATAGGGAAAACAATAGTACCTATACTCCAAAGTGTTATAGTGAGATTTAAATGTGATATGATGCATAAAAAGAATTTTGAGTATTATCTAACCACAGCAAATATTCAATAAAATACAGCTTTTATTGAGGTTTAAAAAATAGTATGACCCTATATACCTCAATATCATTTTTACTGGTGATTCCTAATTATCACACGTGGCACAGATTGGTCACCACTGTGCTAGAGGCTGGGCTATTCCTTTTTTTTTTTTTTTTGACAGGCAGAGTGGACAGTGAGAGAGAGAGAAAGGTCTTCCTTTGCCGTTGGTTCACCCTCCAATGGCCACCACGGCTGGCGCGCTGTGGCCGGCTCATCGCGCTGATCCGAAGGCAGGAGCCAGGTACTTCTCCTGGTCTCCCATGGGGTGCAGGGCCCAAACACTTGGACCATCCTCCACTGCACTCCCTGGCCACAGCAGAGAGGGGCAACCGGGACAGAATCCGGCGCCCCGACCGGGACTAGAACCCGGTGTGCCGGCGCCGCTAGGTGGAGGATTAGCCTATTGAGCCACGGCGCCGGCCTGGGCTATTCCTTTCATACATAAATCTGTTATAAGTGACTTACCTCCATCATTGTCCAAGTTATCGCCACAAAGCATTTCCATGACAACATTGCAGCCTGTCCCACTCCAACCCACCTGACACACACAGTGCCAACCATTTTGATCCAGGGTGCATCGCCCATTTCCAAAGCAGAGCCCTGGGCAGCCATCTGAAAAGACAGCAGAGAGAAACAATCACTAACAATCACAAAGACATCGGAGTGGTATTGACCAACAATGACACGTTTGCCTATAGAGCAGTATCTCATCACTCATTCAGACGCTGTGTTGAATACATGGAAGAAAACTTGCTTGCTTGCCTGCATATCCTTCCTAGGGAACTTGTTATCAGTTTGTAGTGCTTTTCCTAAGAGAGCCAATTAAGCATTATTAATGCTAACCCCAATTCCCAACCTCCGGTTTAGATAGGAAGAAAACTATGGTGGGGAGAAGACATGCTTTCTTTTTCCTTGAAAAATGTACTTCCTCATTTCAATCAAAACTGGATGGAAGATTCTGGATCCAGTCATGGTCAGTAAGTTGGAACAAGTCAGAAGTTTCTATGAAGAGAAATTTTGCCTAACTCCTTCAAGCTTATGCTGATTTTCTCTTGTGATGTATTGCTTCAGGACTTAAAGTATGTTGGTACTGGCTCAGAACACACCCTTAAGTGTTTGCTCATGTGGTGCCTTAGAAATGTGCTGCAGTTGCTTTGCATCTATTCAGCTCTTCAAGACTGCTATTGAATTGACGACTAAGGATTGAAAATCCTTAACTTCTCTGGTATCTCTGTCAGAAGTTAGCATATCATGCCGGTAACAAAAATATTAAATCCTCAACAAATGTTTATGAAATTAATGCATATCAGATTTAGACTTTCAGAACTCTAGAGAATGACTGGAAAAATATAATCAATAGTAAAGTTCACCATTTAAATGACTTTAATTCATTGATAAAACACCAACACTGACAATGGGCCCTTATTACACTTCTAGTTTCTCAAGGATGCCCTGTCATTTCACCAATAGTTCAGAGTTAAGCTCTATCACATGGTAACCTGTGCGTGTGCGAAGTGCTCGGTGGGATGTGAAAGGATACAGTAGTAATAGCATATATCATCTAGATCTTTTCCTAGTAGAAATACAAGACCAGGCTCGAATTTTATGGGGGATAGACCAATCAATACTCTTTTCACTTTATGTTTTTGAAAGAAAATTCAGTAAGTAGAGGAGTAAAAAATTAGTTTCACAAAATCTGTAGAAGTAACCCAGTGTACCTTCCAAATAATTTTTCAAGCAACTATCAATAGACTAGAAAAAGAAAAAAAAAGTTGAAATGACAGATGACTATTAAAAATATAAAAAGTTTTGTGTCTATAATATGCTCAAGACAGGGGAAATGATGAATATATGTAGGTTTTAGAAGGGACATTGTGTGGTTCCATTCTAATGGTGTACAATGGGTAAGGAGAAATTAGGGATGATTTGGGATATAATCAACTTCTGAAGCTAAAATAATGAAAGGCAACGGGATATCTGTAGGAAGCCCTTGTTGTCTCTGGCAGAGGCAGCTAAATGCCTGGAGGGCAGATAATTTTTTTCCATTTTGTAAGGACTTAAGACTCCTTGTCTATACACTTAGAGCTACGAGAGGTCTTTAAAAATTTCATGGAAAATGTGCACTTACAGAACTATACATGGATTTCAAATTTTTCACACCAAAATAAACTTATCTTTAATTCATTTTTTTCCATGAAAGTTTTGAAGTGCACTCATATATTGGTATGTTAAAGAAAAGATTCAGCTGTCCTCCTAAACTGAGTTTATTTGGTAATTATCTGTGTTACAACCTCCCCCTACCCATGCACAGATACAGACACACACACACACACACAAGTCATGGAAAACTAGTTCTCAAACTGCTTATCCGTTCATTCTCTACTGTGACAAAAAGTGATTCTTAAATGTCAGAGAAACAAATTACCTTTTGGTCTGACTATGATAGCATGAAGCTGACTGTACTATGCTTAAATAGATTGGCAAAATAGAAAGGAAAAAAAAAGAAACAAAAACTCCTAAAGAAAAAAAAAGCCAAACTCCCCAAAATACCACCCCTCCTTTCCCACAGACATATTTTCTGTTTAAAATATATTTCTGCTATAAAGCTAGTGAGAAAAATCTTACCTCGGACTGCATCTAAGTAGTGAGCTAAAAGGGGAAGAAAAGAGTGATTGAATGAGTTTCTGGGAGACCAAAGCTATACAACATGTACTAATGGTTTACCATCTGTTGCCTGGGAGGAGAACAGCAAACTGTGAACTGCTGAAATGCCTGCAGCTCAAAAGTTGGTATACTGGCTTGTGTAGTTTATGAATAATATTTTCTGTGGGAAAGATATTAATGACTTTTCTGCAAGAAACTCTATTAGGCTGCCTTAAAAAGTGTCATATTTCATTAAAAGTATAAGAACTGCATTTTTACATCTCAGTAATAACTCCTGTGAAACAGCACTCGCTTCAACTTCTTATAAGTAATATCTTCAGAAGGGAGTTCTGCAGTAACCACCTTTGGTGATCGTCACAATATTTAAATCCTCTTATGTGAAGGCAATAAACTTACTGTAGTGCCGGAATGCAATTACTTAAGCTGCATCTGAATCTTACTCCTCACCACCTTTTTAATGAATCTTAAATATTTTTCACAGTCACAGAACAAGACTTACTGTACCTCTAGTAGAGTAGTAATGGGGTTTATTAAGATTATATGTTATATATATATTATATATATTATACATTACTTTGGCAGGTTCCAGCCATTATAACAAAATACTTTCACCTAAAAATGAAAGCTAAAAGCGCAGTGTACTTGGGGGGGGGGGGAAGCCCACAAACAATGGATTGTGTATGTAGAGGCTCACTTTTCTTTGCATGAATTTTCTGTGCAATCACAGCATGCCACGAGAGTACTCCGTGACCCATTTTCCTTAGCTGCACAGTGGGAATCCTACTTGTCTCTGTGTATATGCTTGAAACCTTGGTGGCAGCTGTGTGTACATGTCTTCTATTGTTTTAAGAAAAAGAAAAAAAACTTTATAAATGGAACTCTTAATTATTATTTGTGTCCTTTCTACTCTGAAGACCACATGATAGCTTAGTTATTACACAGGCTTCCCATGCCCACAGATTGTTCTCCTAGGCAATGTCCTGGAAATGTGTGAAATTAGTGACAAGTGGTGAGATAGGATGGATGCTTCTACAAACTCTCTGCACTACGAGATAAACAATTCAACACAGATGTTCCACTTGCTGATAGGTCAGGAGTGCCTTCCCCATATACATTAAAGACAGCCTCTAATGATATTGAATGGCCCCTGTTAAAACAGTCCCATTTAATGAAATTGCCTCTAAGTGCTTTCAACCAAAACAACCTATACTTTTCAAAAGGAAAAATGGTCAGTGAATGTTACCTTCACAGTCAAAGAACTTCTCTTATTAACTAATGACACATTATTCCAATGTATCATCTTTCATTTAAGTAACTCAAAGCACTTGAAAGCAGAAAACAAGGAACACTGAAGTAATGAGAAAGGGAACCACACAAGATACAGGTAGGATACAGTCAACAAAAGAAGAAACCTTGAAGATCACAAAACTTTCAAACTTATAGCCAACCTTCCTTTTCCTCCTCTACTCCAAACTCAAATTCTACTAAAAACTTGGCAAATGACTCCCTCTACTTTTTATTTCTTCAAGTAATCCAATTTATTTGGTAACAGTAAGGTGACTTACCGATTGTACAGTGGTCGCCCTCCCATCCAGGGCTGCACTCACATTTTCCATCTTTGCACTGACCGTGCTCAGCACAATGAGAATGACAGGAGCGCTCTTCACACGTTGGTCCCACCCAGCCTTCCTCACACTGGCAAATTCCCCTTGAGCAGACCCCATGGCTACCACACTCCATGGTACAGAGCTCTGTGGAAAAGTCAAAGAAACTGTGTTAACATATTGTGTTAAACCAGCATTCATCCTTTACATGGATCCCAACTTCTAGTCTATATTAATATTTTAAACAAAATACTTATAAACATTTCATATAAACAAAATGTCACAATCTCTAACATCTGAGTAAACAGGGAACTCTGTAAAAAAGGGGGAAGAGTAGTTAAATCTCTGAATATAAAATAAACTGTAAGTCAAATTGATTTTGAAAAGTCTATAGCATTATAATGGCATTCAAGGCTCAGAAATAAAATGGATATCAAACTAATGCCAAGGGAGTTTTACTAAAAATACAGTTAGATCACAGATGATGTTGTAGGGATTTTATGAAACTTCCAGAAATCATTGGGGGGGGGGAATCCAGTAAAACAGTACCCTAAATTTATTCAAGAAGACAAGTTTAATAATAGGACACATAACAACTTTGTAATAAAAATCACAATATACAAATGTAAATCTGCCAATGATGACAATCAAGTAGTTTCTCTGATCATACTATCAATAATTACATTTATTTTAAACATTTTATATGACTTCTGGTTGATTAAACATAGTCTTATTTTGAAATGCTTTTCATTTAGCCAATATAATGATGATGTATCCTGGCTTTGCTGATGTTCTCTTTTCTGTCCCCTTGACTTTTTGATGAGATGTGTTGAACACTAATGAAGTCATGACCATTGAGAAGCCAACATCTTTCTTGATCGGATGCTTTTGTTAGAATAGAAGTAGCATAAAGGCACATTGAAAGAATGCAATAGGTCAGGGCATAATTGGCCATATATCCTTAAAGGAAATAGGGAGTGATCTCGAAGCCTATTTCACAGTCTCAAATTCTGAGACTGGTTTTATATGTTAACATGTACTAAGATATTATTAATATATTCCATAGGAAACCAGATTATTTTTCAGTAAGTAGTAATATTTTTCTGATAAAACCATGGTTATGGATTTTATTATAATCTGGATCAATTTGTTTACTAATTTATTCACAAATATTCTTTGAAGGCTGAGGTCTAATGGAAAGAGTAGTGGATTTAAAAAAAATATTTGAGAGAGAAAGACAAAACATTCTCTTTCATTGGTTCACTTTCCAAGTGCCTGAAACAATTAAATCCAGTTCTCCCATGTGGGTGGCAAGGACTCAAGTTCTTGAACCATCCCTGCTGCCCCTCAAGATCTACATTAGCAGGAAGTTAGAGTCAGGCGCTGGAGTCAAAGTTCAGACCCATACACTCTGATATGGGACACAGATATGTTAATTGGCATCTTAATTACTACACTAAATACCGTCCCTAGAGTAATGGATTTTTTTTTTTTGACAGGCAGAGTGGACAGTGAGAGAGAGAGACAGAGAGAAAGGTCTTCCTTTGCCGTTGGTTCACCCTCCAATGGCCGCCGCTGCAGCCGGCGCACCGCGCTGATCCGATGGCAGGAGCCAGGATCCAGGTGCTTTTCCTGGTCTCCCATGGGGTGCAGGGCCCAAGCACCTGGGCCATCCTCCACTGCACTCCCTGGCCATAGCAGAGAGCTGGCCTGGAAGAGGGGCTACCGGGACAGAATCCGGCGCCCCGACCGGGACTAGAACCTGGTGTGCCGGCGCCGCTAGGCGGAGGATTAGCCTAGTGAGCCGTGGCACCGGCCAGAGTAATGGATCTTAAATGAAGATATCTACATACCTGATTCCTCAGCTTAGTAGCTCTGTACCCTTTGGCAACTTTCTAATGTGCTCTCCTAATCCGTGCTTATGTAAGTACACAATAGTGTAATAATATTTACATCTCACAGAGCCATTGAACAGGTTTGAGATAGGTCTTAGAGGTAATATCAAAAGGACTTCCTCAAGATTGGATATGAGGAAAGGGAAAAATAAGTGTTTTGCTTAGAAAAGTGGGTAATGCTGCTATTAATAGAATAGGAAAGGTCAAAAGAACAATAAGAGTGGAAGATCAAATCTTAAGATGAATGTTAAGAGACTACAGAGCCAAGTGAAGCTGTTGATTAAGCAGTGAGATATATGATTCTGACAGGCTAGGTGTGGGGATATAAAATTAACAGTCATCCTAGCATATAGGTGCTATATAAAGACATAGAACTGGTTGATAGCCTTAAAAAGAAAGACTAGAGCTCCAGGAATAAGTTCTGAAATATTCAGTTGCTAAAGGCCAAAATGGCCACTATAACTATATTTAACTATTGTCAATTAAAAATCAAATTACAAATAAAATCAGGTAGAAAAAGAGGAACTACAAAGGTGACTGGGAGGGAGAGGGCAGTGAGTGATAGGAAGAAATGCAGGAGATCCTGATGTAACTGAAATACAGAGGGTACTTTCCCAGGAAGGAGTGCTTCACTGTATTTAATACTGCTGAGAGGTCAAGTCAGACACATGCAGAGAAGTGCCTATTGGATTTATCAACATGGAAGTTGTTAGTGAATTTACAAAAAGCTGTACTGATAAAATTCTAGTTATGGAGCCAGACTGGAATGGGTCAAAGAATGCATGGAAAGCTATGTGTGACATCAACAGTTTGTAAGGAAAAGTTTGGGACACAGAAAAAGTATTTCTGAATGGTAACCCTCAGCCTTAGTGATAGCTCAGAGCAAATGATCATGAAATCGTTCCTAGTCCCTATATTTTGGTTCTGCATCTTTGATAATCTAATTTATAATTTCAGTTTATATAGAGAACCTGAGATTGTAGTTCTGCTCCTCTTAATAGTCTCTCTAAAGACACCAAAACTGAACTCTGCAGTCCTTTCTGAGATTAGGAAACTAACTGTGCAAACCTCATCAAATCAGTGCTGACTAGATCAACTAGAGCCAAACATTTCCACATACTGTTTTGTACAATTATAAAATCCTAAGCATACAGCCTACAAATGGTAGAACTAGAGAAAAGTATAAGCAAAATGAAAGACTAGGCTGTTTTTTTTAAAGATTTATTTATTTATTTGAGAGTTACATAGAGAGAGGAGAGGCAGAGAGAGAGAGAGAGAGTGAGAGAGAGGTCTTCCATCCACTGGTTCACTCCCCAATTGGCCACAATGGCCGGAGCTGCACCGATCTGAAGCCAGGAGCCAGGAGCCTCCTCTGGGTCTCCCACATGGGTGCAGGTGCCCAAGGACTTGGGCCATCTTTCACTGCTTTCCCAGGCCATAGCAGAGAGCTGGATTGGAAGTGGAGCAGCCGGGACTAGAACCCGCGCCCATATGGGATGTCGGCGCTTCAGGCCAGGGCGTTAACCTGTTGTGCTACAGTGCCAGCCCCTAGGCTTTTTTTTTTTTTTTAATATTTATTTATTTAGTTGAGGGATGGAGGGAGAAAGGGAGGGAGAGAGAAATAGAGAGAGAGAGAGAGAGAGAGAGAGAGAGAGATTGATTTATTTCCATCCACTGTGTAACTCCCCAACACCCAGTATCCCACATGAGGGGAAGATACCCAAGTACTTGAGCCTTCCACTGCCTTCCCAGGTGCATTAGCAGGGAGCTGGATCAGAAGAGAAGCCAGGACTCCAAATGGCACTTGGAGATGGGATGTGGAAGTCACAGGGACTTAACCCACTGCACCACATCACCAGCCCCTGAACAGGCTATTCTTAAACTATATCAACATAATCCGTTAGAAATATTGGTATAAAGCAACAATTTTTAAAAATGAATATCTTAACACACACGGAAAAGAAATCTTCAAGTTCCAGAAGCAAATAAGATGCCAAGAGCCAAAGTGGTAAGCATATGAGTCAATCCTCTGGCGGCCTCAAGGGTTTTTAGACTCAGTATTGACTACAGGCTTGTGTATTTATGTCCACAAAGGGAAAAAAGAGAAAGTCTTGGGTCCGCTGAGATAGGAAGTCAAATTAAAACTCCTGCAGAAAGCTAGAACCCTTAAAAGAGGGTGATCTCAGCAAAGTGGTGACTAATAAGCTTCCCCTGCTAGTTCCTCTGGATGACAAAACAATAATGATGATAATAAAATAATGATAAATTTGAGAGTGAAAAACAATGTGGAAATAGAGAATACTCTCTAATAATTATAATATATTAGATTGAGCACCCTCAGTGAAATATTTTTAAAGCTTTGTATTATTCAGGAGTTAGTTAAGAGATTGTCACATAGGCTTATGAAAACTTAGAGGTACGATTCTGTTCCCAGTAATACTGACCAAAGTAATTTTTACTATTGCCTCCTGATGAGAACTAGAAATCTGGCCCAAATATATCTTAAAAATATTTTGGAAGTTACTGGAGTTTAAAAAGCATTTAAGAATTACTGTGCCAAGGAGAAAAAAAAGCCTAGAGAGGTGATCACGATATTTAAGGATGCTTTTCCTATAGAAGTGTCTGTTAGGGTGGAGTGAGCTAGCAGGCTCCATACTTAGAGCTTTGTCCACCTCATGAGGGCAGGAAAAAAAATATTTGGATAGATGAAGGCTAAGAAATTTCCAACACTGAAAAAACATTAAGCCAAATATATGAAGCACAACTGAGAGAACGGAAAAGAAAAGGACATGTTCACAATCACAAAGACGTTACTGCTTCCTTCTCTTATTAACTGAGAACCAGCTGAGCACAAATCAGGGAGGGTATAGAATATTTGAGCAATGTGATTAACATATTGGATCTAATTGACATATATGGAATATTTTATTAGATGACTATAAAATATACCTTTCAAATATTAACCATGTAAGGGTTATAAAACAAGTCTCAGCATACTTCATACTATTGATATCATATATAGGTTGTTTTCTCTCCACTATGAATTCAACTTGAAATCAGTGACCAAGGATATTATGAAATCTATATATGTTTGGAGATCAAGAAATATACTTCTGAATCAACTATAGAACAGAATAGAAATCTCCATCGAACTTAGAAAATAGTTTGAAATGAATGAAAATGAAAGGATCACATATCAAGACTTGTGTAATGTAACTAAATCCATGTGTACAGGAATATTTGTAAGACAGA